GTGTCAAATGCTGCTCACAGGTCCAGTGAGATGAAGACTGAGATCAGGCCATTGGATTAAGTAACGAGGAGAGATATGGTGGGATGCTGGGGCAAGAGCTAGTTAGAAGATAAAATAAAAGAAATTGGGGAAGTAAATAGAGTACTCTTTCAAAGATATTTATTATAAAGAGAGCAAAAATTAATGGGACAGTAGCTAGAAGAGGAAGTGGAAGTAAAGATGGGTTTTGTTGTGGTTCTTATGTGTAGGATTAACTTTAAGAAGCAAATACATTGAATGGCCAGATCATTATATATCTATATATCTATCTATATCTATATCTATATCTATATCTATATCTATATCTATATCTATATTAGAGGCCCGGTGCATGAATTTGTGCATGGGTGGGGTCTGGCCAGCCAGCCAGGAGGAAGGGACATGGGCAGTTGTCCAGCCTGCCTGCTGGTTGAACTCCTGGTCGAGGGGACAATTTGCATATTAGCCTTTTATAATATAGGATATGCACTGAGTGGCCAGATTATTATGCATTCAGAGATCATAATAATCTGGCCACTCAGTGTATATTAATCTACGTGGGAACTGTAACTGGTAAACAGATCAGGAATGGTTGTAACAAATCGGTGCTCCCTCTTCTGCTTTGAAAAAACGATTCAGAAAGTACAATTCAAATCACAAGGTTATTTCATGAGCATTGATAACACTGATAGCACTGAATCCGTTTCTGAGAGTACATGGCACAAAGCAAGTGCTCAACAGATACTTTTAGAATTGGAGAGAAAGGTCACCATGGCTTTGGGGTTAGATAGGAAAGCAAACTGAGTCATGAGAGGTGATGCACCAGAGTAGGCAGGGTATGTGGAACTTGAGATTGCAGTGAGAATGAGAATTAGGTTCAACTGTGGAAGCAAGAGAGAAAAATAACAGGAAAAGGAAGCCATGGTTAGAAGAAAGTTCTCAAACGCCACTTTCTCCTTGAAGCCTTTTATAATCGTCTCATGAGACCGCCACCTTTTCTGGACCTCTCTCAGGCACTTATCTTATACCATGTCAAGTTATATCCACGTGGTGTTCTCTGCCTTCATCTCCCCAATATTGACCATATTTTCCGACTGAAAAACAGTAAAAAACTAAGGTAATTTCTAAGTCCCAGAGACAAAAAATAGATGCTACAAGTTTGATGTTTCTATGGTTTATAGAGATGCTAGAGTAGAATAAATGAAATTGGGAGACTAGATTTCAAATCTGAAGCATATACAAAATATTTACTAAGATCAATTGCATTTGAGTGCCTGGATGATTAAATGAACGAGTGAATGAACAAAGTGAGCCAGGAGAGATAACTGAGGCCCGCTGGTCTGACAGCGGGGGCACAGGTGAATGCGGGAAGTGGGTCTGCAGTCAGAAAGCTCCTAGGAAGTTAGCAAAGTCACCAAGATATGAAGAGATGGGACCTAAATAAAGGTCAGTATGAGTAGAAAAGCAGGATATGAGGAAGTTTTAAACTAAAAAATGACCATATTTGGTGGGTGATAAATATAGGCTCTGAGTAAATAATTCCAAGATTTTGGTATCATGTATAGGGATAGCATAAGAACAGGGAAATGGTAAACTCAATTTTGAAATGTATTTGACACAAGGATGAGATATACATGTAAAAGCTAGTAACACTTAGTATGTGCCAAACATTGTGTCAAGCATGCTTTCCATGAGTGAATTTAATTATCACAATAATTATCACCTATGATGTAGGTGCTATTATCATCTTTGACCAAACTCACATAGCTATTAAGTGGATGAGCCAGGATTTGATTTCAAAAATATTAAGGAACTTATCCTGGGACCACACACATATTCAATATTTATTCATTAAATATTGAACAAGTACCACTGCATTCTAGACATTGTGCTGGTGCTAGGGAAGGAGGTAAATATGACAGACATGGTCCCCACCTGCACAGACCTTACATGGGCATTAAACAAGTAGTTACAATATGATGTATCAGAAAAGAAAATGTTGTTGCAATTAGGTAGGAGTAGGTGACTGAATTCCAGGGGAAGGGAATGGATGGTGTGCCTCAATGACTTGAGGTGAGAGCCTACACTAGGGAAAAAAAGAAAAAAGGAAGGAAGGAAGGAAGGAAGGAAGGAAGGAAGGAAGGAAAGAAGGAAGGAAGGAAGGAAGGAAGGAAGGAAGGAAGGAAGGAAGGAAGGAAGGAAGGGAAAGAGAGAGAAAAAAAGAGGCCCCCCCCCAAAAAAAGAAAAAAGACTAATATAAAAAAGATTAATATGATTGGAGTGCAGATAGGGAAGCTGGAGAGAATGACAAGCTGGAGGGCTGGTCTCCATGATAAGAAGCTCAGACTGTTCAGTAAGCAAAAGGGAAGCCACCGAAGGGATTCCAGCGGGGTAGTGACGTGATCAGATTTGTATTTTTAAAATTACCGCGGCTGCAGTATGGGAACTGAATGGGAGTGAAAGAAGGTTAGTAGGACCTGCGTGGTAGTTATGTGCAGCACTTCGAGCAAGAGATGCAGGCGGCAGGACTGGAGCGGGTGTGGGAAAGTGACCGCAGGAATGGAGAGTGGCCACAACCCCGCTTTTTAAGGCACAGGGGTCTAGGGGATCCTGATGTGTGTCGGAGGCATGCTAGGTTTCTGGCTTGAGCTCAGTAGATGAACAGGATGCCCTTTACTGATCCCAGGGCTCAGGGAGGAAGGTTTTGGAGCGACTGTAACATACAGGTTGAGTTTGACATGCCCCATTCATCCAAATGAAACTGTAGCAATGGCAGTTAGAAATATGAACCTAGAGTTCAAGAGCAAGATCTAGATTTGCGTTACGAGATGGACAGCCTTTGGCAGAGGGTATGTAAAGCTGCTGGAGATCACCTAGGAGAGTGTTCAGGGTGGGACTCAGGAAGAGGACTCTGCTCAGCAGAATGCCAATGTTTAAGAGTTGGATAAAGGAGGCGAAGCAGAGAGAGAAGAGCATATTCGGTTGAAGGTGTAGTCAGTAGTGCCAAATGCTAGAATCAAGTCTTGAAATATGGGGACTGAAGATTGTCTGCGACAAATTAGAGTTGCTTCAGGTGAATGACTGGAATAGACACTAGACAGGAAAGGGTTAAGTAGTGGACGTGAGACAATGTCCACAGGGTAAGAGACCATTGGAATTAGCCACTGGAGAGGGATTTAAGGAGATAAGTCTTATTTACTTTTAGAAATCTTTATTGTTGAAACTGTTACATAGGTCCTCCCCCTCCCCGCTCCCATTAATCTCTTCCAGCCCCCTCTTGCCCCTCAAGGCCCTCACCACCCCATTGTCTGTGTGCAAGGTTATGCATATATCTTTTCAAAGAAATGAGAGACTTAAGCATGTTTATTGATTTATTTTTCAAATACATTTTTACTGATTTTAGAAAGGGACAGAGGCACACACAGAAACACCAACGATGAGAGAGAATCATCCATTGGCTGCCTTCTACATGTTCCATACGGGGGATGATGGAGCCTACAACCAGGGCATGTGCCCTAACCAGGAATCCAACCCGTGACCTTCTGGTTCATAGGTGGATGCTCAACCACTCAGCCAGGCCGGCCAGGCGAGCATGCTGATATACGTAAGGTGGGGAAGCCGGGAGACTAGAAAAGATTGAATAACGGAAAGAAAGGTGGCTATTCTTTGGCCCTAAGTCCCTGAGAAAGCAGCCTGAGATCGATCAAGAGAACCGAGAAGGGCAACTGTCTCTAACAGGAAGCCAGTAAGGGCGGAGCTCAGACTTGCACCATGTGGGTTTTGCTTCCTAAAGGCAGGTTTGCTTTCTGAAGGGCAGAAAGACGCTTATGAAAGAGAGGGCTGCAGAGCTCAATGCAAAGGAGACTGAGAGATCAGGATCGCGGCCTTGGGTGCCCTCGGAAAGCGCGATCTCAGGAGCTTTGAGGCAGCGGAAGCCACCCCGGCGGGCTTGGGGCGCGGCAGGACAGGGCGCAGCGGGTGCACACCACGCGGCAGAAACCGGCTGCGGAAAGAAAGCGACACAGGAAGGTGCCAGAAAAAAAGAAAGAAAGAAAGAAAGAAAGGGCAGGCAGGTGTGTGTGTGGGGGGAGGGGGGTAAGAGAAGACATTTCGAAAAATTGTGGAAGAGCAACCTGGGTCAGGGCAGGTGATTGCTCAGAGGCCCTGGGCGACCCTGGCTGCCCGCGCAGCCCGGCTGAACCCCGCGAGGTGCCCCAGGTCCCAGAGCCTCCGCAGCCCCAGGCACCCTCCCGCCCCCGCAATAGAACAGAGCGGCCGGCCGCCGCCAGCTTTCTCCGCGGGTGCTCGGAGCCCGGCTGCCCGGGGAGACGGAAAGCCCTCCCCCGGGGCTCCCGGGCCGCGCCGCGCCCCAGCCAGGCCCTGCCCCGGGCACCCCCGGGGGCGTGGGCAGCCGCCTTCCTCCCCGGCCTCGCCAGCCTCCCGCCCTCGGGTGCAGCCCAGACCCCGCGGTGCGCCTCCCGCGTCCGCCCGGCGTTTGAAAGTTCGCGCCCGCCGCCGCCCCGGAGCCCGCCCGCCCGCCGGCCCGCCCGCCGCTTACCGCCGCGGGAGTTTCCATCCCGCCGTCCACACCCCCCTGGGGTTCCCCGCCGGCCGCACACCCCAGCCCCACTTCCTCCTGCACGTTTCCGCCGGCGGGTTTTTATCCACCGAAACGCGGCGATGGGGCTTCGAACCCTCCTTCCCTCTCCTCCCCCGACCGCCCCACGCGGGTCCCAGCCCACCCTTCGGCTTCCCACTCCCGGCGGGAGAAGCCCCTGCGCCGCGTCCGCCCGAAGGGGAGCCGAACGCCTTCGGCAAGTTCCGCCTTCCGCGCGGGGGAGGGCGGGGCCGGCCGAGCGCCTCCGGGCGGCCTCGGCAGTTTCCGGGCGCGGCCGCTGCGCACTCGGCGCTGGGCGGCGCTGGCTGCTCCCTGGCTGCGGCTCCTCCGTCCGCGGCGGCTGCTGCTGCCTGTGGCCCGGGCGCTGGGAGAAGCCGAGTGCTGGTGAGTGACGCGGCGGAGGTGTAGTTTGACGCGGTGTGTTACGTGGGGGAGAGAATAAAACTCCAGCGAGATCCGGGCGGCGAACGAAAGCAGTGACGGAGGAGCTTGTACCACCGGTAAGAGGAGCAGGAGGAGGAGGCAGGAGCCCGCGAGAGAGCCGGGGGGCCCGCGGGGGGAACGGGGAGGCGCCGGCCGGCCGCGCGCCGAGGCCTTCCCCTCGCAGGAGGGGCCGCGGCAAAGATGGAGCCTCCGCCCGAGCCCCACCGCCTCGCCGCGGCTCGCAGCGAACAAAGAATAATGGCGGCGGACCGGAGCCAGCGGCGGCCGCCGGGCGGCAGCGACTCTGCCTGCAGCCAGCGGCGGCGCTCATGGCGGGGGGCGGCGGCGGCGGGCGGGGTGGCGGCCGGGGACGGGCTGCGGGCGGGCGGGCGGGCGGCCTCCGGAGCGGGCGCCGCGTTCCCGCCGCCGCCAGCCGCCGGGCCGGGCCGGGCCGGGCGCGGAGCCGGAGCCGCCCCAGGGGGAGGCCGCGCGCTCGGCCGACCGGCCCGATCGGGGCTGGCGCCGCCGCTGCCGCCCGCCCGCCCGCCCGCCTCGCCCCCGGCCCGCCGCGCTCCGGGCCGCGCTGCCGGGGCCGCGGGAGGTGGCGGAGGTGACGGCCGCCGAGGGCGCCCGCCGTGCCCGCTGCCAGCGCCCCGGAGCGCGGCCCTGCCCGGCCCCGCGCTGCCCGCGCTCTTGGTGCAATAAAGTTCGCATCCCAAGGCTGGTCCTCGTCTGCGTTTTCTTCTTCGTGCCCGTTCCCCCCGCTCCGCTCCGCTCCGCGCCGTCCGGGGGGACCCTGTTCCCGCTGCCCCGGGGAGCCCTGGGGGGCTGGGGCAGGGTTTTAGGCAGCTTTCACTCTTTCCCCTTCACCTCTCTCTCTCTCCCTCTTTTTTAAGGCAGTAGTCATGGAAATGCATTCTTTTTGGGGAGCAACGGGTTGCTAAGAAAATAACACATTTCTCCCAAGTTTGCAGCAGTTGGGATCTTGCAAAAGGGAAGCTGGCGTTTGAAAAGCAGTTTCGCTTTTAACCCTTTTTTTCAAGAAGGTGATCACTTGAGATCCATCCTGGTGAAACACTGGGTGTCGAGTCGGGGTGCTTTTGCTTTACATCACTGTGTGTGTGTGTGTGTGTGTGTATGGTTTTTTGCCAACAGTGCCAACTGGTGTGGGTCCTCTGGATCCCTCCACCCCGCCTCCTTTCTGCCATGTTTCCCACACGTTTCTGGCCAAACAAACGCATTGATGGACGCTAATTCTAAAAATGGGTGTTTTAAAAATATCCATTATTCTGTCTCCCAGGCGGTGGGCAACCCCAACCGGAGACTTGACCATTGAAGCCACAAGGCTTATTGTTATTTTTTTTCTTCGTTAGCAAAAGGCACGGCCGGAAAGTCACTGACACAGAGGAGATTAAAAGCTAGTTTTTAGAGGACCTGCCGTACGACCCGTTTAGGTGTGTCGTACCCTCTGTGAGAAGTTAGAATTTCACTCTGGCCTTCGCTCCCATCAGCTCTGCCTCCTGAAGGTTTCGTTTAAAAGATACTTTTGGTTGCCAGCTATTGAAATCTTTCACATTCACTGCTTATTTCCAGATTAAAAAAAAAAAAAAAAACACACACAACAAAAACAAAAACGGTTATTGTTAAGTGTTGCAAAAGATGAACGAATCATTTGTTTTAAAAACACTTGGTCTGCCACATTTCACTAGCCCTGTAGTTACTGTTCAGGGTTTCTTGTTAGGAATAAAAACTGATTGGTAATAGAAGCCTTCTTGTTGCCAAGTACTTTTTCAAAACCTACTTTGCTGTATTGCAAGTCTTCAAAAAATAAATAAATAAATAAATAAATAAATAAAACACGTTAGCAATTTGTCATTGTTGAAAAAATTAAGAAAATGCAATAAAGACTTTTTTCATAAGGACTGAGATGATTTTATTTGACAAACACTGAGGAAATTACATATTGATGATGTTATAGATTACTGTTTTTCCTTAAGAAAGATCTTCTGAAACCCAGCATCCGTTGAGTAATGTTTTTCTCCTACAGAGACTATAGGATAACAACCCTTTCTCTGTGACAATTTAAACTTTATCTATAAATTCATAATCTGTTAATCCTTAGCAATTCCAGGTGAAACTTTTCAAACTTTTATATTAATTAAATATGTGAAACTTCACATGGAGCATGGTACTAAAACATACTTCTACCCCCTCTCCCGGACCAGTAAAAAAAAAAAAAAAATCTCAGTTAAGTTTGATTAATTTATTAATGGACATATATTCAGAAAATGAATGAATCTTTGACACCTTGACTGAAAAATGTTAAAAGGCACTTATGGGATTTAAAGCTAATACCTCTTTTGAATTTTTTTTTTTTTTTTCACTTAAGAGCCTGAGGAAACTTACAAACCTCATCTATAAAATGGCAACTTCCTTTTTCTGCTTTCTAAAACTTATATTCTTGATTAGAGCTGATAAACAGAACATTTTCTTCAAAGTAGCTTTAGTTTGTCACATTTGGAGACATTTTGGAATATAATATGGTTATATTAAAACCGAGTACAGGGTGGGGAAAATAGGCTTGCAGTTGGGCAAAAATAGGTTTACAGTTGTGAGTACAAGAGTTTATTCTTGTATTATAATTTATTAATTATGGTATTATGTCATTTTCCATATGAATAGCAACCTACTTTTGTCCCACATGTATGTATGCCCCACTTCATGTCAGTTTAAAAATATTTTCCTCTTCTACAGAAGAAATGTTCTTGTAACTTAATGCTTACAGTGTATCACTGAAATTTATCATTTCATTTATTCTATAAATACCTTACTAGATTCAGTTATATGCACTTGTTTATATCAGCCTGTAACAGTCTCATAAGCATATCTTTCTTGAAGTACAGTGTCACTCACAGTGACAGCTTTTTAATTGAATAGCTAAGAGCTCAAATCTGAATGTAAGAATATAGTAGATAGGAAATAGAAAAAAGGCAAGGGTTTTCATTTTCTTGTGTGAACTCATTTCTACTGCAGTTCACTGGAGACAACAGTTGGTGGTAATTCAAGTATTTAGCTAGCATTCACTGTGACAGAATGTAGTTAGTGGAAAGAGCATTAGGTGTTGGAATCCCTGATGACACTATTGTCATGTGCCTACCCTCAAGGGAATTTGTGACTTGCCCGGAAATTTTTTGATCTTCCTCAGCCTCAGTTTTCTTATTTGTTAAATTAGAATAATACCACCTTTTTAATAGGGTCATGAGATAAAGTACCTCCTTAGGGACTCAGTGATACTCATTTTTAAACTTTATTTTAACTTCCTAGCTGTGGGACATTGAGCTGGTTTCTTCTCCATACCTCAGTTTGCTTGGTCATAAAGGTACCATACCCACCCCATAGAAAAGTGGGAATTAAATAAAGTAATACAGGTAAACTGTTTAAGTTAAATAAAGTTAGTACTTATTAAATGCCAGGCATTTCACATGTGCCCAACAAATGTTTTCTACTTTTAAATTACTCATTATTAATATTACTATGTTTAATACACTGGAGTAGAAGCTACAGCAAATCCAAAGATGAATTGCACTGTCTTGCAACCCCAAAGGAACTTTGAGGACATGATGACTAAGGCAGAATATCAAAAGGAGGGATCATACTTGGTGAAATAATGGAAAAGGGGAATATTACAGTTTTATATTTTCAGTTTTATTTTTCAATGTCATTCAGATAATTCATAATTCAAAAGAAAATTTATAGAAAAAGTGTGTGTGTGTCTGTCACCCCCAACCAAGTCATTCGAGTATTGCTAATTCTCTCAGATGTATATATTCATACACAAGCAAATAAATACATACTCTTCCCCCCTTTTATACAAATGATAGTCTACTATAAACACTATCATATCTTGCTTTTTTCCACTTAATATTGCTTAGCAAAAAAGCTTCATTTTTGTTTTTTAACAATGAGGCATCTTATCATATGAATGTACCTGCATTTATTAACCGGTTAGTGAGCTGATTTTATTTTTAGGTCTTACCTGACCCTTTAAAGTTTAAACCAAAGGATCTATCATTATGCATTTATTTATTTAAATGAAAGAGATTCATTTGACTGATAAATAACAGTTTCTGACAGGAAATTGTCATTTGAACTTTATTGCCTTGTTAGCTGTTAGTGCATGAAAAGGCAAGTAGGCTGTGTAAGGGTTAACTATGAAAGTGGAGTTAGTCTGAATTTAACTCTTGTTGAGGCTCTTTATACTCCCTCCTGTTGCTATTTCAGCCAAAATATTCTCTCGATAGTTTTCTCTCAGAATGAGGAAGAACATCTCATGTAGTTCAGTCCTTTAAAAAGTGTTTTTAGTGATTTTTTTAAAGGGGATGGACAGAAAGAAGCTCAGTGAGAAAGAAACATTGACCGGCTGCCTGTTGGGGATGGAGCCTCACTCCGGTGTGTGCTCTGATGGAATGGAACCTGTGGCCTCGGTTCCTGGGCTGATGCTCAGCTGCTGAGCCACACCAGCCGGCTCAGCTGGGCAGTCTTTTTTTTTAAGCAGACTGTTTTCATGGGAAATTTTGGCCCAGTAATGTCGATTAGGATACTAGCTCTCTTCCTGTTCTTATTTTTTACATAGTCATTAACTTACTCTTCGACGATTTTCTAAAGTTTTTTAGTGTAATTGTCAGTTTTATATTTGACTAGAGGCCCAATGCATGGAATTTGTACAGGAGTAGGCCTTCTTTCCCCGGCTGCCAGCACCAGCTCCCCTCTGGCACCCAGGACCAGGCTTCCCTCACAGCCCAGCTTCGTCCAGAAGGTCGTCTGGAAGGACACCGGTCTAATTAGCATATTACACTTATTCTATAGAATATAGATCCTAAATAAATAGTTTCACCTCTATGATTCTGTACTGATTTTGCTGTTTATTTTTTTTAAAATATATTTTATTGATTTTGTACAGAGAGGAAGGGAGAGAGATAGAGAGTTAGAAACATCGATGAGAGAGAGTCATCGATCAGTTGCCTCTTGCACACCCCCTACCGGGGATATGCCCGCAACCAAGGTACATGCCCTTGAC